TCTCTGCTTGTTTGAAGAAGATGACTTCCGCATGAATATGATGATCTCTGCCTATGTGTACTATGATCTTGCATGCAATACTTTTTTACCCAAAGGCTAGGTGGCCTATGCAGCCACCACTGCCAGAATCCCCTGGGCACCTTTGGGAGGGAACTATTCTTCCTTGGCAACGATCATCAGCCCATGATACTTTCTGTCATACTGTTGTATTATCCATGGAGATGGAAAGATTCAGTGACCCCTATTTTTTTTCTTTGGACTTGCCCCTTCCCATGCCACAATTGATAGACAATAGATATAACTTAGTAGCTTTACATGTCTCTATCTCGTTACCATTAGTTCCTTACTTTCGGATTTCATATGCCTGAAGGAATATCATATTCGTTAAAAAAAGATGCAAGGCCTTTCTGCTGGTGGTGATGATGGATCCAGAGCAACATGGTCAATTGTTGTACTCTCCATATCCCATGTTATGTGACGCTATGTGTTGTTTGTTGTCAAACATTTGAGTTTTAACCACAATGTAAAAATATGGAAAGTGAAATTTATGAGTGAAGATTAAGGATCAACTGTAATACTCTTTTTATCCCTTCTATGGGAATCAATCTTTAGGTTTTTGCCTTTTCGAGTCCTATGGTATTGGGACAAATTTGCTCCTTCGTTATGTAAGAGCTAGTCTTATCTCTTTTGTCGTTTTAACATTCATCTTTTCCATGATCTTCTGTAGGACCGAGCAAGTGAGATATACAAAAGGCTGGAAGACCAGAAGTGTACGAGAGGAAGGAATCTGGATCCCTTGGTGGCTGCTTGTATCTACATCGCTTGCCGGCAAGAAGGCAAACCACGCACTGTAAAAGGTGTTGCCATGATATCTGATTATGTAGATTAATGGTTTAGTTCTCTTTTTGAACTTCTCTGAACTTTGGGTATTAACTAGAAATATGCTCAATGGCCAATGGAGCTACAAAGAAGGATATTGGCCGAGCAAAAGAATTCATTGTGAAACAATTGAAGGTTGAAATGGGAGAATCTATGGAGATGGGGACTATACACGCTGGAGACTATCTGGTGAGTGAGACCAAGTGTTATGGTCTACTCTTCTTTGTGAACACATTCAGTACACTATGAATGTTTGTATATTATCTGACATGGACAATGCATGAATGTCAGAGACGTTTCTGTTCTAACATTGGTATGAACCATGAAGAGATTAAGGCTGTCCAAGAAACTGTCAAGAAGTCAGAAGAGTTCGATATAAGGTAGGGGTACTTTTGGCTGCAGTTTATTGTTTAATCAAGTTCTCAATATATTCGTGCCTTGGCCACAAGTATTCTTAGTCTAGTAATTAAGTCGTTTGTGGATATGAATGTAAAAATACAAGTATCTCTGGTTTTTGGCCTTTTGGTGCAACTTATAGGATGTATGGGATGAATACAGTATGTTAGATTTCATGAATTCACTACAGGAAACAATTCCTGTATAGATTGGAGGCCCTCTTTTGTTTTCGCATTGGGGATTCTCAGACTTGTACCAACGGAGCACTTTCTTAGTGCTTTGCTGTTTATATCAATAATATAATACTTATTAGTTATTTACCAGTTCAAGAAAATAAAAAATAATATAAGTTTCTAAGTGAAAACGCATTGGTTTTTGCGGTGGTGTGAGACTTCCGTCACATTTAGTGCAACCTCTTTTAATTATGAATTTGGCAAATTGCATTCTCTGCTGGAACTTTGAGAACAAGTTCTTGATAAATGAAACCTGCTGTCAGGTCTTTGCATAGTTGGTAGGGAGCTAGGGGCTTTTGTCAGCTGGGTCCGAGACTTGGGGTTGAACTTTTTCCCCTCTTTCAAGATCACGTGAACAATGTTTGACGCTTTATTTTTAATGCGAAATATATGCAAGTCTCCATGAGTCCATTTTGGTAAGAACATTGGAGTTCTAAAATAGCTGACTTTAAAAAAAGGAGCAGGATGGGAAATGGGTGTCATCTCTCGGATCACTAGCCATAGACTCTATATGCCTATCATGTTAAATTAAATATGATTTATATGTTTATTCCTTGTTTTGCAGGAGGAGTCCCATATCAATTGCTGCAGCAATAATATACATGCTGACGCAGCTTACGGATTCAAAGAAACCTCTGCGAGGTTTGTGCATTTACCTTCTTTTTGGGAATCTTGGCAATATGGTTTGAATCTATTTGGTACTTATATGGGAAAACCATGCTATAGTTTTTATGTTTTCCACGTCGACTAATGCTTGATCTGGATCTGCTGAATATGCTTTGTAAATCTTGGGTGTCTGTACTAGCTCTGTATTTGTGGTTTGACTGAGGGTTGTACATGCAGATATCTCAATTGCAACCACAGTTGCAGAAGGGACTATCAAGAATGCATACAAGGATCTCTATCCCCATGCTGCCAAAATAATACCTGAATGGTATCTCAAGGATAAGGACCTTAAGAGCCTGTGCAGTCCCAAGGCATAAAACGTTTTGCTTTTTTGCATTATAGGAGCTGCTTATAGGGACTAAATCTTCAGGAAGTGCCAAGACTAAAGAACATCAGATATTGGAGTTATAAGGGGACTGTAGTGTAATATGTGATACCTGGGTAATCAGATTTCTCATTTCCATTTGTCTTCCCTTCCCACGAAACAGATAGGCTAAGTTTATTGATATATGATGAGGCCATTGTTTCTCCAAATTTTGATGGCTATTTATTGTCATTGGCAATATTTTTGTCCCCTACTGATAAATTCCTTAGGGTCAGTGACATACAGTTTGTAACTCGGTGGATAATAGCACCTTATTTTCAGATTTTTGTCTGTGGCGAATCCGTGACTAATCCACGCGTTGCGATTTTACCACCAGACCAGAGCGCTAGGGCTTCTCTTCCTCATTAAATCCACTTATATTCGCCTTTAGCAACAATTCATAGTGGAAATAGTGCCAATTTGAGCAATTTATCTGAGAAAAACTGTGAAGTTAAATGGTAGTTAAGGGCATTGGCATTGACCCATGGGAGCAGAAGCTCGTTGTTTTCAACCATTAAAATGTTTGGATACTTCAATCATGTTAATTTCTGTATTGCTTGGAAGTATTTGCTATAATCTTGATATCCTTCTTGCTGCAATATAAGAGGATCGTCTTGCCTTGTCCTTAATTTCAAGTTTTGTTTCTTGCATTTTCTAATTACTTCTTAGGAATGCACAGATTTGGAATCTAATTTTATTTTATTTGATTTGTGCGTTATTTTGGAAATGTAGTACTCCCTCTGTTCCAATTTATGTGAACCTGTTTGATTGGGTACGGAGTTTAAGAAAAAATGAAGACTTTTGGAATTTATGGTCCTAAATGAGTTAAAATGAGGTTCAGAGTGTTTGTGTGGTTATAAAAGCTTCTCATTAAGGGCAGAATTGTAAGTTTAAGCTAAATTGTTTCCAAATTTAAAAAGGGTTCATTCTTTTTGGAACGGACCAAAAAGGAAATGGGTTTACATAAACTGGAACGGAGGGAGTACATAATACCGCGTTATCCTAAAAATGTGCAAAATTAAGGTCCCTACATCGATCCATTTTCAGCGTGAGAGTTATAATGAAATTCAGTTGGAATAGTAGAACTGCAACAATGGGATCATTAGTAACTTTGCTTAACAAAGTAATGAAATGACACAAACTGTCCCTGTAAGGTATTTTTGGAAGGAGATGAAGCTCCAAATCGAAGTGATTGCTACATTGTTATCTTAATAATAATAAAAAAGAAAACTAGGGTCATTATCCTATTCAATTTATCTATTTTTTAATAGAATAGAGCAATTATATGAGATGAGAATCATAATATAATATTGCCACGTGCACATATGGATAAAGCCTAGAATTTTCTTCCACAAACTGGTACTAGTAGACTATAGATTATTTTAATTAATAATAAATGGGAGTAAAAGATAAGAACAATATCACTTTAACAATTATTTTATAGGCTGCAGACCATTATCCAGACACTTTCAAGTTGCTTCTTCTCTGTTTCTATCTTTCTTTCTTTCATTTCAACTTTTCATTTACAGCTTAGTACTTGTCAACACTTCAAGTGTACAACCGTTTTCTTCCATCATATATGGATCATTGTCTGTGGGACCAGTCTTTTACGTCACCTTATTTCTATTTACATATCAACGGATTGAGTTTTAACTTTTTGTAAAAGAATAATTACTCCATCCGCTCCAACGTGAATCTGTTTGACTGGATACGGAGTTTAAGAAAAAATGAAGACTTTTTGAATTTGTGGTCCTAAACAACTCAAAAAGGGGTCCAGAGTATTTGCGTGGTTATAAAAGCTTCTCATTAAGGATAGAATTGTAAGTTTAAGCTAAATTGTTTTCAAATTTAGAAAGGAGTCATTTTTTTTGGAATGGACCAAAAAGGAAATAGGTTCACATAAATTGAAACAGAGGGAGTACAAGTCTAGTCTGGCTCCTATGCAAAATTGACACATGTAAATCGACAAAAAAGAAATAAACTTCTATGCATTCTAATTTATGTGACACTTTTTTATTTTTGAAATTCGAATTATATGAAATTTCATTAATATTTTAAAATATTTTTTTTTATATGGGTGTACACATGATTTTTTATAAGTGGTGTCAATATTTATAAAAATGTAGATCTATCACATTTTTGTACAAAGAGTAGCCTTAGATCATTGGTTTTGTTGATTCTTAAGTTAGAAGAAGTTCGGAGTTCAATTCTACCTAGCTACAATTTTTAATACTAGAGTGTCTTTCAAATATTTACCAAAAATATGTTATAGTTGAGGCGATAATCTATGTCTAAGTGGTGTCCCATTTGCTTTATGTTATCATAAGGATATGAGAAAAGATGTTTATATAGTTTTTGAATATTTACATTTTATTTTGAAAATATTAAGTTGATCTACAGAGGGAGTACGTACTTGTTATAAATGAAGAGTTAATTATTTGAAATATAAAGCAGGCATTATATTATAATAAGTTCAATTATATTGATAGTGCACACCAACAATGTATATTTATACATTTGGATCTTACACACCAACAATGTATATCAATTGGATCTTACTGATTTTTTGTACATTGATAGTAGATGCAATTATAACCCTGCAAATGACAAGATACATGAAATATTCTTGATTTTGATCAATTTCACCTTGTTATGTGAGAAATGAATGAATCCAATTCCATGCGTTTAACTCCACCCTCAGCCACTGACTTCCTCAAGGCTGCACACAAATCTTTTGCTCTGTTCCTCATCTCATCTCCTTCTTTTGATGCCATCAATTTATCCACACCTTTCTGCACCATATTTGATGTTACAATCTCCTGTCTACGACCCCATTCCTTAACAACAAGACCAACTTTAAGAATCTTTGTAATAAGTACAGTATTCCTAGGTTGATCAGAATGCATTGGCCATGCAACTATTGGCACTCCCATTGATATACTTTCCATGCAAGAATTCCATCCGCAATGACTCATAAATCCACCGATCGAAGAATGTGACAAAATTTCCAATTGTGGTGCCCAATCTCTAATCACAATTCCCTTTTCTTTAACTCTATCTTCAAACCCTTTTGGTAATTTAATTTGTCTCAAATCTTTAGTGAACACATTCCCTTTATCAGCATCTCTTAATACCCAAATAAACTTTTGTTTGCTTTGTTCCAATCCAATTGCCATTTCCTTGATTTGTTCATCAGAAAATGAAGTTGTGGTACCAAAAGATACATATAACACTGAGTTTGGTTCTTGTTTGTCTAGCCAAAGCAAACATTTGTGGCTTCTAATATTGGACCCTTTTTTGGTCCCACTTAATGTTACAGGATTAAATGGTCCAAGAGCCCATTGTTTCTTGTTACCATTTATCTGTTCTTTAGACAACAAATCAAGAAAAGGACTTTCTATAACTCTGCATGTGTTATAAATTTTGCCAGAGTTAAATTTCATGTATTCATATTCTGTTTTCAAGAATCTCTCAAAGTCAGAACTAAAACAACCTTCAAGTGAAGGAAGGTCTTTTAATATTTCAGCATCAATAGGGAAAGGTCTGCCCATATTTTCCCATATGAAAAAGAAAAGAGTAAAAGCTGACACACTGTGGAAAGTGTAAGCTTCTGCATTTTCTAAGGACACAAAATCTTGAACCACTGATCCCATTAAAGAGTCATTTATTATAATGACTCTTTTATTTTTGGCTGAAAGTGTATGCAAAAGTTTTTTGACTGGTTTTCTTAGGTGAGTGGATGCTTCAAATGAAGGTTGAAGATGGGATGGGAATTTAATAGAAGAATTGGGATTTGGAGAGGGAGATATGAAAGTAGGGATAGAAAATGCATGCAAATGAATGTTGGAAAATGAGTCCAAGCCATGAACTCTAAGTTTAGCTTGAAGATTATGTGTTTTTGTGCTAATATAATGGATTTGTATATTGTAAGATGCTATAAGGCAAGAGAGTTGAAGAAGTTGGTTAAGATGGCCTTGTGCTGGAAAAGGGACTACAACTACTACAATTTTTTGACTCTTTTGGCTATTGTTGTTGTGGAAATGGAAATTGGATGCCATTGTTTTGAATTATGTGATTTGCATTTGTCATAACTCTTCCCCCTATTTATTTAGAGAGGGTGGCAACATTTGGATAATGGTGACTTGAATTGTTTACTACTCCATTATTTATGAAATTATCAAGTTATAGCATGTGAATAGCTGGTAAGGCTAGCCTTTGGCGTAACTGGTAAAGTAGCTGTCATGTGATCAGGAGGTCACGGGTTCAAGCTGTAGATATAACCACTTGCAGAAATACATGATAAGACTGTGTACAATAGACCCTAGGGTCCGACCCTTCCCCGGACCCTGCGCGTAGCAAGAGCTTAGTGCACCTGCCTGCCATTTATAGCATGTGAATGACTGATTCAATGAAGAGATATAATTTTGTGAATTGCCTATCTTGTAATGGGGATGAGTCACATGGCACTAATAGTAGGCAGAAAGTTTAGAGTGTAGGACAGGGTTGGTTAGTTATCAAATAATAAATGTACTTGCTTGAATAAGAGAGTTTGCAGTAATATATGAGTGGTGACAGTAGTTCAGGAAAATATATATATCTATGAAGCTGACAGTAATGTGAGTTTAGTCATGGGCGGGGGAATAATGTAGATAATAGCTAGTTTGTAGCTCTTAAACTATGGTTTGGGTGGTAAATTTTGGATAAGTTCGGATTAGGAAAGTGAATGTAGGCAGTGGATATAGCTAGTTTGTCACTATCAAAGAGTATCATTGAAGTGTCCTTCCATCAAGACTTTATACGTCCCTTGAATTGATTGTCTTTTTTTTTTAACCCCTTAAATTAATGTCTAATGTTCCTAGTTGTGACGTTATGCTAGTACTATTATAATGCCATTCTTTTGATTGACACAAGTTCATATGTACAATTAAACTCAATGATCATTCTTGTCCTTGTTAGATTGAGGTTACTAAGAGATCAAGACTCTAAATCTCTAATGTGTTCATTTACACGAAATGAACCAACTAAAAAGTAATATTCCCTTTGTTTCCGTTTAAATGACATACTTTCCTTATTAATTCGTTAAAAAAAAATTTAATATCTTTATATTTGAAAATAATTTAACTTTAAACTTTTCATTTTACCTACTTTACTCTTAATGAGAAACTTTTATAGCTATATAAATGTCATAGTCCAACAAAACTTTTGTCCTTTAAATTTTTAGGACCACATATTTCAAAAGTCTTTTTTTCCTTAAGCTTTACGTTAAGTCAAATTATATCCTCTAAATTGGAGTCCAGAACCAAAATGTGGTTCTTTTGGACACAAAAGACCGAAATAGGTGGAAAAAAAAATAGTAACCTTTCTATATATAACACCCTTTTAAAGGGCACTATATTTTAACGTCAGTTTTGTCCGTTAAGATATAGCGTAGTAAATAACCGTGCTATACCCCGTCTTTGTATTTTAAGGCATAACACTTTAAACAAAAGCGCTATACATCTGCCTCTTCTGTTCTTTCTCATTATTTATGGATCTCACCTTTTATCCTTCTCTTTCTATTCAATTTCTTTCTCTATTTTTATTAGTTTTTTTCTTCTACGTTGAAAATTACATTTTCAAAAAAAAAATTATTTTTGATGATAAATAATTTGTGTTAATTTGCGCTATACCCCATCTTTGCATTTTGAGGCATAACGCTTTAAACAAAAGCGCTATACATCTGCCTCTTTTGTTCTTCCTCTTTTTTTTTTTGGTAATGGTTCTTTCTCAATATTTATTGATCTCACCTTTTATCCTTCTCTTTCTTTTCAATTTCTTTCTCTATTTTTATTAGTTCTGTTCTCTCTACTTTGAAAAATTATATTTTCTAAAAATGTTTTCCGAAATTTTTTTTTGATGATAAATAATTTGTGCTAATTAATTTAAAATAACTTTTGAGCAATAATTAGTGTTTGACCTTGTTTTTAAAAGTTATTTCTAAGTGTATTTTTGTTAAAATGCTTTTTAAAAATATTTTTTTGCGAAGAAGCTACTTTTTTCCGCTTATAAAAGATTCCTTCTGCTTCTACTCAAAAGTATCTTTTTTATTCCTTCTAACAGCTTGTTTGGATGGTTGTTACATATGATGAAATGTGCCGCTTTACGTAATGATCGATTTGATATGATCGCGTTGTTACCTTGTCTTTTCTCTTAGTTCGAGTCCGGAACCAAAATGTGGTTCCTTTTGACTCAAACTACACAAATAGGTGTTAAAAAAAATAAGTGACATTTTTATGTATAACGCCACAATAACTGGCGCTATATATTAACAGTAATTGGACCGTTAAGTATAGCGCCAGGTATTGTGGCGTTATACTGCAAAAGCTGACACCGTTCAGGTATAGCGCCATAATACCTGGCGCTATACTCTTTTTTCCTGGCCCCACCAATAATTTCTGAGTTAAATAATTGAAAAGCGTATAGTGCCAACTAGTTTGGCGCTATATATATATATATAAAAAACTTCCCGGCTAGCCATTTCCTATATAAAGAGGTTAGAATCATATAGAAATTCATTCAAAAATTTTTTAACTCTTGTTGAAACATCTATTGTTATTAAATTCTCCAGTAATTTTTCATTATGTCTGAAGAGCGTAGGATAAGAGTTTCATTATATTGGGGGGGTGAGGTTGTGATGGAGAATAACTCCGTGGGCTACAGTTTACCTGCTAAGTGTCATGTTAAATTGCCACTTACAATGGAGTACGATACATTGATATCGTTGTTATGCAAAAAAATGAGTGTGAGGAAACGTTCAGTGATACTTAAAGTAACCGGAAAATATCCGTATTCCGTCACTCCGCAAGGGGTTGCTTTTTACTCTGAGTTTAACATCGACGATGATGAAACTTTGAGTGATTTTCTGAGGACTCCGGACGAATGTCGGGAATTTCTTGTAATCACAATGTTGGAGATGTACGTGAAGGTCGAAGACATTCCAAAAAACGAGGTTGTGCGTAGTAGAGATAACCCCCAGTCATCGGGTGGTTATTCTGGAACAGTTTTTGCCGGATAGGTTCCGGATGAAAGAGTTTTCTTTGATTTAAACTTATCACCGTCGGTGAATGAGCAGTGAGAAAATAATTTATACCCTGCTTTCCATAACTCACAAGACGAGTGGTAAACTTCAATTTTTATTTGTGTTAATTATGTATATTTTTGTTGTATTGAATTTGTATTAACGCTCATATATTTAATAGGGGGTACCGGCCGGATATGAATTTTACAAGTGGCCCATCCGGTAGTCATCACCTAATAGAAAACGTCCATCATGGAATTTCATCACACTACGACTTGTAAGTGAAGTGATATAGCCATATGGAAATCATTTATTAATTTAGTAGCTTATATTTTATTTGGTTGTGCAGTGAAAACGAGCAAGTTGACTCACTCAATTGCCCGAAAATGATGTATTACATCGGGATCTGGCAGATGCACAGAGTGAGGAACAAAACAGTGATTACGATAACAATGCGGATGAATCTAGAGACGAGACACCCTTTCCTCGTGAGGATGGTGATGCAGAGGATGAGGAGGAAGGACCTGATTTGAAGAGAGACCCCCCTAGACGAGAGTGTATGAGTCCGAAGTGCCGTTTCATTCAAGAGAGATTCCTTACATTTATAACTTACCAACTGTGCCGGATGTGGAAGCTCTCACAAGGGATTTTGATGAAATCCGGACAGCAATGTAGGATGAGTCTAGATCAACGGTGCTTGCAAGGGGGATGCTTTTTCCTGATAAAGCGCGCCTAAGCAGGGCTTGTAAAATGCACAACGTAAAAGATTGTCATGAGATGCAGGTATGGGAGTCAAGTCCGACGGTATACAAGGTTGTTTGCCGCAGGTGGTTTTGGCCATGTAATTGGATGTTGCGTGCGACCAAGAAGAAGACAGGTATGTGGAAAGTGAGTAAATACATTCCCACCCACACATGCGAAATGGACACATTCAACGGGAATCACTTCAACTTGGATATTGACTTGATTTCTCTTGTTCTTATTCCACACATCGAACAGTCCATAAGGTATAAAATCAAAGAGTGCATTACAGCAGTCCACCAGGAACATGGCCATACCATTACTAAAAGAAAGGCATTTCTCGGGCGCAAACGAGCGTTTGAAATAGTCTATGGTAACTGGGATAAGTCATTTGCAGATCTGCCTAGGTACATGGCTGCACTGCAGCATTTTAACCCCGGGACGGTTGTTGAGTGGAAGCTTGAGCGGAGTGCAGGTAAACCAGAATATATATTCAATTACGTGTTCTGGGCGTTTAAACCAGCAATTGATGATTTTTCGCATTGTCGCCCCGTAATATCCATAGACATCACTCATGTCTATGGAAAGTACGATATCAAGCTGTTAATAGCCGTGGTAGTAGATGCTAATGGACAGATATTTCCTCTAGCTTTTGCTATTTGTGCCAATGAAAGCCAAGAGACGTGGATGCTGTTTTTGAACCATATGAAAGAGCACGTTGTCAAATAGCGTTCCGGTATCTATCTAATATCTGATCGGCACGGTGGTATCTTAAGTTCTATGGAGAACTTGCCTGCATGGCAAGAACCTTATGCCTACCATCGTTACTGTGTTAGGCACCTTAAAGCCAATTTCCAGAAGGCATATCCCAATAAGGATCTGCATGATTTGATGTGGATGGCAGCAACAGACCACAACAACATAAATTCCGGAGGCACATGGAATATATCAGGCAAGAAGACGAGGCAGCCTATCGTTGGTTAACGCGACATGACCCTGAAAAGTGGACTTTGCATGCGGATGGTGGCAAATAATGGGGAACTCTGACTACAAATATGTCAGAGTCTTTCAACGGGTTATTGAAGTCGGCAAGAGGATTGCCTGTCACAGCCATGGTGCGGATGTCGTTCAAGCAGATGGCGGAGAGGTTTGTTGAAAGGTCTGCAGCTGCAACGTCATTGATGGAAAGGGGTGTTGAATTTATGCCAGTGCCGATGAAGAGATTTGAGAAATACAGACGGCAAGCACATTGGCATAAATTTTTGCAGTATGATAACGAAAGAAATGTATTTGAAGTTCGCACCGCTATCCATCAAAATCGG